ATAAGTAACATTTAGAAACTTTAATTAGAAATTACAAACTTTCTTTTTTAGTAAAAGCTTTAAAAGTCCTACATTCATTCATTACATTCTTATGAGCTTTAAGATGCTATTATATTGTTACCTCTTCAAAAACATTCCTGGAGTTGTGTTTTGTTTCATCCACACATGTTTGAGTAATCTTTTATTATTGACTAATCTTGCGTTATTTTTTGTTATTGTCTGTCTACATCTCCAAAGTTCAAAATGCTCTGTTCCACCTTGTGATGTCATGAAGCAGTAGTTTTCATGTTAATAGCTACATTTTACTTTTAGTCCAGTATAGATTCATAAGTTATGGTGCAGCAATAGCTAAAAAAAAAAGACAGAGGGAACTACATAGACTACAAGAAGAAATAACACTTTTAAACTTCATTCTTTGGATTAAGTCTTGTCTTGAGGAAAAAGTCGCATATTAACATTTTTAGCACAAAATATTGCAATAAATATTGTACCGTGAGATGTATATCATGAAAATATTGTACCAAGAGATTTGGACATTGTTACATCCCTAATCGTGAGCTTTCCCACGATATCGCAATAAATATCGTAGCGTGAGGTTCAAACTAGGGATGAGCATTCGATGAAATTTTCTTAATCGATCGTCGGAAGAATTAACGATCGATTATCAATTAATCATTAACGTTTTTATACTAAAATGATCATCATTATTATTACTATCTGCACTACTAATCTGCATAAATAAATTCAACTTCAGGACAAATAAACTGTAATGACTCTAGAGCCACATCAATCCGTTTGACATTATGTGTTTAATTCAGTTTTGTACAACTCTCACAGAAACGAAACTTAAAACTGCATCGCTAATTTGCATAAACTAAGAGAAGATAAAACTACAGCTCTTGTGTCGCTGATGCGGTTCAACTTCTTAAAAGACATGATTCAGTGGAATACAGGTTAGTGTGACCATATTTGCGTTTGTCAAAACCAGGACATCGTACGGGGGGAGGGAGGTGGGGACTCATCATCGACATTGCGCGACTCTCACCTGGTAAAGCTTTTCCCACTGGACACAGAAACATATGTGCTGCTTTGTTCACTGTTCACATGGACTCACACTTGTCCCAAACGCAACGGAAAGCGTGGAATTTCTTGTACAAGTCATCGTTGCACATCGTTCGCATTTGCACTTCAGTACGTTGTAGGCTGACCGACATGTACGGACCTGTTTGGTCACACTACGCTACGCACAGCAACCTACATTCGGTTTGTGGATTAAAATGAACCTAATGGATGAAATTCTTAATGATCAATTATCGATTAATCGACTAATCATGCCCATCCCTAGTTCAAACCGAGACAATATCGTATCATGAGACCTGGAAATCGTTACACCCCTAGTAATTTCAGAGCTAAAATTATCCAAATATTTCTAGTGAGAAAAGAACTCAGTGAAACTTGTGTGAATGAAACAAAACACAACTCCAGGTCTGTTTTTGATGAGGAAACAACATTATAACACAGATCAGAAAGTAGCGTGACATGTGCTCTTTAATATAATGATTTTAACGACGTATAATGTGCATTTTAATTGTTTTTGCTGAGCGTGTAGGTCTCTGGTCGCGTCTGCCCGGTGCACCTTGCTTCATAGACTCTGCGTGTGTGTGTGTGTGTGATATAAACACATTTACAGCAGCGGTGATAACAGTGCACACACGGATCACGTTACTCAAGTGCGCCGACTCAGTTTAGCGTCTGGGGTTTGACCTGATTCGTCTGCAGAGGTGAACACGAGGAACCACTAATGCGTTGACTGAGACTGGAGCCTACACCTGTCTGACGGACAAACACGCGAAGACAAAAACACACAAAAGACTGTTTGGAAGATCAATATTTAAACGGTCCTAATCTGTGTTATAATGTTATTTACACATCACAAACATAATTGGAGTTGTGTTTTGGTTCGTTCACGCATGTTTAACACACAAACCTGCATTTTTTAACTTTAATACAAGTGCTCCACCGTGTTTTTAAACTTCATACATCTTCACTAGAATCATCTGGATAATTTCAGGTCTTGACTCATCAATTTCTACTGAGCTAAATAATAATAATAACATTAGAACTTTTAAAAAACAAGGTTACAAAGTGCAGTACGAGCCACAAAGAACAATACAAAAAGCAAAAAAATAAAAACACAAAAGGCAGACAAAAATTGACAATGACCTAAACAATTCAAGTAATTATAATAAATAAATAAAAAGAAATAAGGAATAAAAAGGTAGAAATGTAAAGGTAAAAAGGCAGCTGTTAACTTGAAAACTACAGCTTCATGACATCACAAGGTGGAACAGAGGACTAATAACTAACATGGCTTAAAGGTTGTATGGAGGATTTTTTTTTGTTTCAAGTTGTCAATGATAGATTATAGAGGTGCAGTAGCCTTGTAATTATGATGACCAAAAAAAAGAGAATAAAAATTCATCAACTCTGGACGTGGTGGGGCTAAACATTTGCCAATAGATAACGACACTGCCTCGTTATCTGTGAGCTGACAGGCTGTCAATCAATCTCCCTACGTTTCTAGTGTAACTGACTTGCCTGCGCGCCGCCGGTACGTGGTTTACGTACGACTGTCACGCAGTCCACAGACGCAAGACGCACAGACGCTGTTTACTCCACCAACGCAACAGTTCTTAGCGGCTTTTTTTGACCTATATCTTCCTCGCAGTTCGCACAAAGTTTGTTGCAATGGCGACAAGAATCCAGGAGCAGTTCGCCGCAAAAGAAAGTCCGTTTTTGAGGTCGCTGAAAGAAGAAGACAAGGGGAAAAGCAGCGAAGCCAAACTAAGGTGATTCTTGTGGAGATTCATTCCAGCGATGGCGCGACTGAAGCAGACGCAGGGTCTAAAGACTGACGCACTGGTCCACAAATTACTCCTGGACAGGTCACTTCTGCTTATTATGAAAACGTACTTTATTTCCAAGAGCTAGTCAAACGTTTTTCAGGACACGAAAGCGATATCCTATGTCTGAAAACGTAATTTTCAAGGCAAAGAAAGAGTCCGCTTGCTGCTGCATGTTGTAGCTAGTTCATTCGCACTGAATCTCCGCGCACTCTTCTCTGCACTCCTTTCCTGCTCCTCTTCCCGCTGCCCGATCCGCTCTTCCCCCTGCTCCTCACTTCTCCGGGCACGGAATCTCCGCGCACCGCTCCCCTCTCCTCTCTCTTCTTCCTGCTCCCTGCTCCGCTCTTCTCCCTGCTCCTCACTTCTCGTCCGCAAACGAAATTTCCGCACACCCCCTCCCCCCGCTCCTCACTTCTCCGTCTTGCCTAACCAACACTGTAGTTAGTTGTTTACAAGTCATGTGCAGCGCACCGGCTGTAAACAAACCTGTTTCTGGCGTAAAGAGGAGGCGGGAGGAGGCGTTTCTACGTAGGAGCTGTAGGGGAGGGGGGGTGGTTTCACGCATGCGCAACATTTGAAAAAGGACAAACAGTCGCTGGATTTCTCGTTCCTTGGAAAATCCTCTATTCAACCTTTAAAGTTCACAAGAGTCAATTTAGCGTAATATAAGACCTTTAAATAATATTCCATCTAATCAAGTGCTTTTCTGTGTGGAGTTTGCACGTTTCTCCTCGTATCTACATGGGTTTTCTCCAACCTAAACATGCACAATAAGTCAAATCTCCCAGCTAAGTTAGTCCTGACCAAGTCTCGATCTGGAGATGGGTCCCCGGGCACTGCATGCAAGGCTAGAGGAACACCAAAGTGTATTTTAATCTTAACCTAAAGGGTATTTTAATCTTAGCCTTCAGAAAGCCACACCGCACATTTCCTCTGTGGCTCTGTATGTGTAGATAGTAGAAGTTTAAAGAGTCTAAAGGTAGAGGTAGTTAGAATTAAAAGTTTGTTTGTTATTGAGGGTTTTGCTGAGGAAGAAGTGGGCAAAAAAAACAAAAACAAAACAGAGTCATATCATTATTTCTAACCAAGAAACTAAAGTAATAACCAAGGAAAGCGCAAAGTTTCCTTGGTTATGAAGAAAGAAAACCAGCTGTGGTACTGGCAATTTTCTAGTTATACTCCTGTTAATTTATCCGTGAAGAGAAATCAGGAAAATCAGTTCTGGTTTCGTTCACACATGTAGCCAGGCCGGCGCCACCTCGTGCCTCTGCTCAATTTCATTTCTCTCCAGTGACTAGGTCAGGAATCAGAATACACTAGACAGTTTGCAAGAACCGCAGAAGTTGTAGACTGGCCCGATCAGAGAAGAGCTGTGAAGCCATGACGTCAAACTCAAGCGTCTGTCTGGGTCCCTTTTGTGGAACAGCACAACAGTAAACAAAGCGGTCGAGATGGATGTAGACGAAGACATACATTCTGTGTTGGCAACAATTCCTGAGATCGAGGATTTAAAGCCAGAATAAAGAGAGTGTTTGGTGAATTTTATCAAGGGGAAAGACGTTATTGTCCTTCTTCCTACGGGATTCGGAGCATTACATACGTCACGACCAAACAGCAGAGATTGGTTAAATAAAAAAGTACCCGCCTACCATCAAGCGAACGAATCCTAACGCTGCGAGGTCAGACGGTTTCCACGAAGTGAAACTGTCTGATGAATCATGACCCTGTCCTGGCAAAATGCAGGTAAATTCCTTGGTCATACCGCATGTGTGTTATAATGTTTTTTCCTCATCAAAAACTGACCTGGAGCTGTGTTTTTTTCATTCACACACAGACTTTTGAGTTTTGGAAATGTAGACAGACTAATATTAAAGGGTTACTCAAATATGTGTGAATGAAACAAAACACAACTCCGAGTTTATTATTTAAGAGGTAACAGCATTCTAACATGGCTTAAAGCTCTCGAGAGTCAGTTTTGCGTAATATAGGACCTTTAAGTACAAAACTGTGTTCAAATCAAAATCATATGACTCTTAGAAAATTGTTATATTCGATTTTTTTTGCCATTTTGCCTCCTTCTGCGTTGATACTCACACAGGCATCTTGCTGGAGGCTCTGCAGAAACTGTTTGGCCGGTAGCAGGAAGTGCAGCAGGTAGCGTAGTCCGTCTCCGCGGTAACAGCGCTCCACCACACTGAGGACCTGACAGAGGACGGTGGGCGACGTGGCCTCGAACGGCGGGTACAGAGCGGACAGCGCCGTCTGCAGGCACCGGTCCAACGACTCAGAGTCCTGCAAAAGACAAAAATATTATTACTGAGAAATCTGGATTAGAGTACTTTAAATAGTCAACTATTATCAGAAAAAATGCATTACTTTTCATTTGATCAGTTCATTCGTGTGTATTGGGAAGACTTTTGTAACTGACTCTTTAAGATGGACTATGGAACTTTTCTGATGTGAAGCTAACTGGAGGCACTGCTCTGTCTGAAGCTCTGTTACTCATCTTAGACTGTAATCTGAGATTTACAAATGTGGAATATATTATTTATGGACAAAATAGCAAACACCTGTATTTCTGGGCAATAAAATCACATTTTAAAATCGACCCAAGATGATCACATTTAATGCCATACTTTGGAACAGTGTTTCCCAAACTTTTTTTCTGGGGACCCATACTTTAAAAGTGGCAAATCTTTCACAGATCAAGTCAATATAGTCATTATAGTCATTATTCTTAAATCACAAAATAAGTTTGTGACCATTATTGAACATTAATGAGGATATTTTATTGTTGACTGAGTGATCGTGTCTCTCTGAACAATTAGTATTACCTTATTTTTCGGACTATAAGGCGCAATATCAATAATGATGAATTCTCTCGTCTATTTTCATACATCAGATGCACCGGATTGTAAGGTGCATTACGCAAATCAAACAGACGACACTTGAGACTTAAGACTTTTTTCCAACGAGGACTCAAATATACATTGAGTAATAATGTGTTTGATGCAGCTTTTCACATTTGTTTACGTTTTACAGAAACAAAACTTAAAATCACATGGCTAATTTGCATAAACTAGCTCTGAAAAAACAGCTCGCTCTTATTTCACGAAGCTCTTGACTGCGGTAGCTGTAATGCTCCAACAATCCATCAAATGGAGCGGCTCCATAGTTCACCAAAGTCATACATAAAATCGGTCTGAGGTCAGTAAGCACAACCAAAATTAATACATAAGGCGCATTGTAGATTTTTGAGAAAATTCAAGGATTTTAAGTGCGCCTTACAGTCCGAAAAATACGGTACTGAATGACTCTTTAAAGATGGACTATGGAACTTTTCTAATGTGAAGCTAACTGGAGGCACTGCTCTGTCTGGAGCTCTGTTACTCAAGTTAAACTAAACTAATCTGAGCTTTACGAATGTGGAATATATATTAGGAATAGGCATTTATTTATGGACAAAATAGCAAAAAAAACTGACAAAAGCATAAAAAACACCAGTATTTTTGGGCAATAAAATCACATTTCCAAATCGATGCAAGATGGATACATTTAATGCCACTCTTTGGAACATTTAAAGCAAAGCAATAACATCTCCATTACGACAAGCAGGTGAAATACTAACAACAATAATTTGATTTACTTTACATAAACAGATTTCTGCGCTACTTACTGTATAAGAATTACAGAAATCCCCCTCCCAAATCAAATCAATAAACAGATTACAGAAGATGAATTCATGATTACAGGGACAATCTACAATGAACTTTTTACAGCGGTACAAACTTTAAAATCAAAGCTGCTTAATGTTTGACAATTTTCAACCTCTTCTCGTCATCTTTCCCATAACATTTGATTGTGTATAATTGTCCCTAATTTCTCCGTAATTGTAGCTGCAGCTCCAGTGTGGAGTTGTGGCCGTCTGAGTTTAGGCAGGTGCGTGTGTGTGTGTTGTGAAACGCCAAAGTGGTTTCAGACAAACAAATTCCTCTCTTTATTCGGCTCCCAAACAAAGATCACGAAACTATAAAATGTTTTCATAACCATCTATCATCTTCTGGTGGTAAACAGACAGTGGTAGACTAAAGCCTTTCTGTTTGAGCTTATGGGAGATGACAGCCTCACATCTGCAGGAGGACAGATTTACTATGAACAGTTCCAGCTGTTTATGACAAAGACACACCTCAAATCAAATTCCAATCAAATAGATCCAACAAGCCTCTAGCGATGCATCATAAATTAATTTAATTTCCAAATAGTAGGTGATATGACTGTACTGTATTGTCAAATGGCCCACACCAACCACAGAGAAACCCTTAATTAAATAAAAAGTACAGTACAGCTGAATTTAGTTTTATTCACTGGGGCAACAGTGGCTCAGTGGTTAGAGCAGTGAACCTGAAAGTCAGAGGATCGATTCCTGTCCAGACCACGTTTTGTCATCGTGTCCTTAAGCAAGACACTTCACCCACCTCGCCTAGTATGAATATGGCATGTGTGAGTGTTTGTCGCAGGCATGGCGCCAGGATTCCAGATGGGCTTTAAGTTAAAAACCGTCATCAAATCATCAATCAATCATCGATCAAAGCTGGAAGAAGAAAATTTGCCACTGGCATCGACCATGGCCTGTGCATCGGTTTTAGAAAGATCAAATATAAAGCACTGTTTCGAGGGATGTAACAATAACCGAAATGTTGTGAAATCGTATCATCAAAATAATATATCAAGAGAATTACAAGTTTCTTTGATTAAATGCATGGTTTTATAGTAGCAACAGCTTATAAACATCGGAAACCACATATCCCATGATTAATTTCAATGCAGAAAACATGAAGAGATATGATTTTTACTTGAATTCTTGGGATTATGATGGAAATAATTCATACCAAAATGTTGTCAAGGTATTTTAAAAACAAAAAAAGTGTCCCATCTACAATTATATTAGCCTCTTCAACATATATATAATAAATATCGTAGCATAAGATGCATATCGTGATAAAATCGTGCCGTGAGATTTGGATATCGTTACATCCCTAATTGTTTCCACATTGTTATTATTAACAGTTCAAAAGAAAAAAATGCATCTTTTGGATGGTCAGAAGTTTGAAAGTTCCAAACAAAAATCATGTGCTGGTGTGGTATAGGATTTTGACCCCGTGGTGAGGTGACCTCGGGGTCAACATATGGTATGTTGAACCCGGGGTCCAAATCCTATGGTATGTTGACCCCCCCATGAAAATCTATATTTTATTAATAAAGAACTTGAATTCTATATTTTAAAAAAACTGAATATTAATACTGTATCTGCAAATTAAAACATATTGACATATTTAAAAGTGTTTTTTGAAGAACTCAGATGCATTTTTTATGTTAATTATAACTTTTGAATGTTAAAAATTACTTAGTTGTTTAAACACATATTTTACTGAAAATGAGATAAGTAGTTATTAATTAGTTAGTTAATCAAAGTGATGTATAATGATTTGGAATCTTGTTAAAATAGACAGGGCTGATCAATTGAGTAGTTAAATAGGGGATAACTACGGCTATAGTAAACTGACCCCCCAACATGACATTACTAACTTCAAGGTCATTATCCTCACAAACCATTGCCTAAATTGACATTATGCTTAAGGATTATCTAAACATAGCAAACTAAAAACCATAACAATGTAAAATACAATATAAAAAGTGACAAGATTGCTCTGTATGTGCAATTTTAACAATGCATTATATTTACACAAAATACCAAGTCTTTATCCATCAAAACAGTCCTTAAAATACCTTAAAAGAAAGTGAATATGTAGCAATACATAATAAAAGTAAATTACATGAGGAATAATGATCATATAACGAAAAAGAAAAAAGTAAGGGGAGTCAAAATCCTACAGGGGGGTCACTTTACTATAGCGGTATGTTGACCCCGGGGTTCTGTTATTATACTAAGCATGAAGTGTCAATAATGAAACGCATTTATTACAATACGGTACAAAATATACCGAAGCCGAGAGGGGTCACAACAAACGCAAACACCGCAACAGATACAAATGTGACAACACAACAAAAGCCACAACACACCAAAAAAAGCCAGAACAGAAGTGACCGTGGGACTCTATTTTCCGACAGACTGATCAAGCGGCAAGTGAAGAAGAACTACAACGTGAAAAGTAAAGGAACGGAGAAGTTGGAAACGTAAATAAAAGTAATTTATTGTTTTATCATTATTCGTTTCACGTTGTAGTTCTTCTTCTTCACTTGCCGCTTGATCGGTCCGTCGGAAAATAGAGTCCCGTGGTCACTTCCGTTGTGGCTTTTTAATGTGTTGTGGCTTTTTAATGTGTTGCGGCATTTGCGTTTGTGTTGTGGCGTTTGTATTTGTTGCGGCGTTTGCATTAAAATAGAGTCCCACGGTCATTTCCGTTGTGGCTTTTTTTGGTGTGTTGTGGCTTTTTTTGGTGTGTTGTTGCATTTGTATTTGTTGCGGCGTTTGAGTTTGTTGTGACCCCTCTCGGCTTCCGTAAAAATATGAAAAGATTCAACAAAATATCCCTCCATCGTGTTTCAAATGTGAACTTTGAACAGGTTTGATTAAAACGTAAATCGCAAATCAAATCAGTGCAATAACAACGCCAATCTCCAGTAGATTCGCCGTATGAAACAGAACTGTGAGGAGATTCATGCAGAGAGAGAGAGCGTAAAAACAGCCCTTACATGGACAGAGACCTGGATCCAGACCATCTTCAGTCTCGTCCTGTTTATCCTCTGGTCACTTTAATCCATTCAAAACACTCTAAATCCACAACAGCGTTATCTCCAGTCCTGACTTTAAACTTTTACTCTTTTTGTCGAATTTTTTATCCTGCAGCTGCTCCCGTCCTCGACCCGTACATCTCCCCGGCATGTGTGAGCTTTCGGGGGGCAAAAACAAGTTCAACAGCCCCCACGGCCCTGGAGCTGCGCCTGGGAGACCCCGAGTGAAGGGTAGTAACAGGGTCTATAGTGGTCTAAGGGCAGAACGGACTGGTGTAAGTATAGAAACTCCAGTCTGGCTCCAGTCTCCTGACACAGATTTAATGCTGAGCTGTGTGCATGTGAATGTTAGTGTAATGTTGTTTGGGCTATTCCGGTCAAGAACGTGACGCCTTTGGGAGACTGAAAATGGCTGTAGTTCTTGTGATTGGGTTTCTGTTACAAACATGCTGCCCTAGATTAGAAAAAGTAGTACCAAGGGTTGGGTCGTGTAATCTTGTTGTTGATGTCGAGGTTCCAAGTGGAAGATAAACTATAAA